AGAGAAGAGAAGAGAAGAGAAGAGAAGAGAAGAGAAGAAAAGACTGGGAAAAAAAATGAAAGAAAGAGGATTCTCGGTCAATAGACTTCATTAGTTAAAAATACTTACGGCTGTTGTCCGATAGGTTTTCTGAATCGCCGGATGTTGGGTTTGCTGTGCTGTCTTCAGGATCAAAGAAACTCATGACGGAACTCCAAATGGATCTCTTCTGACGGGATCGAATCATTGACAGCACATCTTGAATGACATCTTCAAGTCCTTCTACACGTGCTCCCATCTAAAATAGAAAATGAGAGGTATTCAATTATTTTAAAAGTATGTTTTTAGATAAGCTAGCACATTAAATGTCGTACGGATCGAATACAATAAAATGGAAACAACTTGATAGTATAACAATCTGAGTGTATATTGAACATATTAGAGAAATTTTTTGGTGTTTCTGTAAAAAAAAAAAGCTAATTTATTTCAATCTGTGATCTTCCTTACAAATTATTCAAAAAGTAAGAACGATATATCTTTATAATGTAAAACTCTTTTGAATACTTGAAAAAGATACTGAAATGCACTGACGCATGTGCATCGTTTTTCTCTAGCGTCGTATAGTACAGTGTACATTGACATTAAAATGGCTTCTCATTGTCTTCCGTTAATCACAACTTGTAATTGACAGATATTGCACGGCTACATTACATGTCTATGAATTAATGTATTGTTCCCCACTCTTTCGAAAAACGCTCTAAAAGCCTTTCGGAAGGCTGTCTCCACCTGTGCGCCGAGTATGATACCATTTAATTGTTGAATGAGAGATATTTGAACTGATTCTCACCTCCAAGAAGTCAAATCTGTAGCCCATGATATGCCAGCGGAACCTCGCGTTAGTGTTGCGTGGAATGAAGCTGTTTGCGACTTGGATACGGTTGACATCCATCTCAAAACCGCTAAGGAGTTTTTCTATGACGATGAAATAATTTTAAAAAACGTTATGATTTCATGAGGGGGTAACTATACAGGAATCAAGTAATGGAAATAAGCATTTCTTAACGTACCAGAAAACCTCGAAATACGTGTGGCCAAGGAGTATTGAATTTCAAACTGAACCTTTGGTGCAAATCGGAGGGCTAGGCGTGCACATCTGGCTCTGTCGAAAGATGCATACCATACTTAGAACTGTACTCCTTGCCTCTCTCCCTACCTCCATTGAAACTTAAATTCTAAAAATAACCAGCTGATATAAGAACAATATTAGCCAATCAGAATCAATGAACTTTGCAAAAAGAGGTGTCACTTTTCCTCATGACGTTATGAATTTTCAGGCCACCAAATGAATGCAAATAAGTGCTTGATAACAGTGACGTAATAATGAATAAGTTTTACATTTTTATCGTAATGGCGGGCATGTTTTTAATTTTTGTAGGCTTCAATGACACTTCAGTTTTGCAGTAACATCATTTTTGCGTCCCTATTTTAGATCAGCTGGAAAAATACCCCTAATTAGGAATATGCTATGGAGTTAGATTTATTTTACAAACGTCTTTCATACCTAATTTTGAGGATATTATTATCATGCGAAGCCATAGACTGAAGCTTGGATATTACCCATGATGCAACTTGGTTGGACCTTGGACCCTGACTCTCGCGCTCTCTTCGGACGATGTTTACTAACAGTTGCATGTTCAGGAACGTTGGTTCCTTGTCCAGCAGTACTGCTACTACAGCCATGCGCAGTTCAGCGTCGTTGTTTGGGTCGGCGAAGATCTGGATGAGTTTACTGCGCAACTGCAAAATAATCAAAAATAATATCGATCAACTACAAGTCTTTGGAGAGGGGCTGAGCAAAGCATTTTGGGAATAGGAAACGATCTTGATTAATATCGTGGATTTTGAGTATAAACAGTAAAAAGATGAATTGGGGTATTTTAAATTGGCATATTTTTTGAAATACCATCGCATCGAAATAAAATTTTGATTTTTTTTTTTTCAAGAAATATTTATCCCACTTAATTAGTTTGTTTAATGATCCTTAGACAATTTCGAAAACAGAAGCAACTATGTTTTCATTAAAGGTGGTATATAGAGCAAGCGTATCTCAGTTGGTTAGTGCGCGATCTTCAGAGCTAGAGGTCCACAGTTCGATACTTAGGATCTCCACATCTGTTTCGACTTCTCTCTAATCCGTGTATAGCTTCAGCTTTAAACACTCTTAAAACAGAGCACTGATGGAGAGAGGGGGTAAAGTGCGCACCGTCGGCTTTCATTGATAGGAGTTGAATTTCAACTGAAGGAACTACCGACGTTAAATAAAGGTACTTTACTTTACTTAAATAAAAAAGCAGCAACCATCTATTATCAAGAGAAAACTGAACTAAGTTAATTTTCTCTTGCTGTTATGCTTTAGCTTAAACGTCTTCCTATATATACTTACTCCATCTTTGTTCAAGTGGACCATCTTCCTCAAAGCCCAGATACACTCTACTCGTAACCCAGTCGATAGTTGAGTGTTCAGAAGGAGGCTGACAATAGTAGCTTGGTGTTCTTGGAATCCAGCGTTGCCAATGGCCTTCAGGTACATCAGTTTTTCTTCTTCGCTTGTGACTTGTTTGATCTTGCTCTCCAAAGTCTAGAGACAAAGCGAAACCGGATTCGTTGGGTGGGAATGACTTGGTGCCGATTAATCTTAATGACTTGATTAATGAATTGGATTGCTGTCGTTACTGTTCAGTTGCTGTTCTTGAACTCAAACAAAAACCCAACCATGTTTCTGTGTGCGTGCATTTGCAAACACATTTCCACATTTTTTTGTAAGAGATTCAGTTAACGCGAGGTATTCTGGGACACACTGGGTAATTTCCTCAAACATAAGCAGATAGTAAATGGTAGATACTTATATGGCGAATTAATATTCAAGGTTGTAAATGAACGCCTCAAGGAGGCTTTCTCTTTACCTGGACAGCAGTGTGAAGAGAAGTCCTGATATCCGTGCTTTGCTCTGCTTCTGGGCACTTGGATAGCCTGTTAACCAAAGCACTGTAGGACAAGAGACATTGACGACGAAGCCACATGTGGCTCTTGACGATTTGGACATTCTCGCACACATCCTAAAAGACAAAAAAAGGATAAACGAAACTGAAAGAAAAAGTTTAAATTTAATGACTTTTAATTAGAAGCTTTGATATAAAATATCATAATTTCTACATAACTAACGAACTAGCATATTTGCACCGTGTCAAGAGATACCAATAAATCAAGAGCCTTTTTTCAAAAATTCTCCTAATTTTAGTACGTCGTGAGAATTAGAACCATATTCGTGAAGTCATGGTCCGCATTGTAAAATGGAGACCATTGTTCAAAATTTGTTATTCGATATCGAATACTTTTAAAGGTTTTTTCCCCCAGGTACCCAATAACGAGCCATTTATAATAAGTACCTACCAGAAGAGTGTCCACATGGATAGGCTGGACTTTGGGGACGAATACAAGGCTGATCATGATACGTCTTAACGAGGCCAAGGAGAGTGAGGCACACTTCTTCTTCAATAGCAACATTACTTCTTTTGTACCAGCAAGAGACAGAGCATCGAAGCAAAGATCCCTGAAACAAAATCAAACAAACAGCTCTTCTTTACCGCCTGCAATTTTTTATTTTTTGAACCTTCGGACATTGCTGGAAGACAAAAATGCCATTAATGTTTAGTATTGCTGGGAGCGTTTGCAAAAAGCTGATAACAGACCCCTTGCAGAATTTCCAAGAATTCTTTTTTCTTGAGGATTGAAATCTTTTTTGATGTCAATATATTTATCTGTTTTTAACACCAGATGTAGGATGTTCGCAATAGAACTCCCGAAGTCGTTTGAGTGGCTACAGAACAAAAGCTCCAAGTCGAGGTTGGTCTTGATGTGTTCATACATTTACTGTATTTTATCAAGTCCAAACTCCACTTGAAGCCATCGTTTTGTGGTCACTCGAGAGTTTTTCATGGTACGTACTTGACAGTCTGATCTTTCATTTGTGCAACCTGTTGGAAGACAATCTCCAGCGTTGCTTCATCACACAACCTAATGTGGGCAACAAGGTCTGGGACCGTCTGTTGGGCCAAGTGACTTGATATATCTTTCTGTGCCTCGGTTTGGAGCTTTTGAAGAAGTTGCTTCACCAAAAAGCAAGTTCGAAGAAACCGCCAAGTTAGCGTTGTATTTCGGCACTAAATTTAACATAATATACTAAAATAAAGAGAGCAAGCAAGCAAGCAAGCAAGCAAGCAAGCAAGCAAGCAAGCAAGCAAGGAACTGAGCAAGCAAGCAAGGAACTGAGCAAGGAAGCAAGGCACAAAGGAGAATTCATGCACCCAAACAAGGTTTACTTGAAAGCAGGGTCCTTTTATTTACCTTTGTTTTGATTTGTTCCTTGTAGGCCTGGTTTTGCTTCACTTCATCTTCAGGGTGAACAAGTTTGAAGGTCAAAGCAGTGTCAACGGCTGATTGTATCGACTCTGTTTAAAGAAGACGAGCTCCACCATTAATAACAGTCAGTAATATTCTCGACACGAATTCACATCTAAACCGCTAAAAATAACGTAGCACTGTCATTTAAACTTTTTCTGATGATCTCTAGTGGATTGCAACAAATTATCAACAAGTGTTTGAGAATATATTGGATTGAACACAGATACCTACCTGCAGATTGAGAAGAAGACTGGGCCTGGTACTTCAGTTGCTGCCTGCAAAGAAAACAAGAATGTCTAGGTCACGTGATTCAAGATGACCTCTAAATGACTGACCATCATTAGGCTTTCTTCTCTTTCTTCTTCCTTCTCCCCTAGCCTACCCCTTTTAGGAATCAAGGGTGACCTTACAGTGCACTCGCCTCTCACCTCTAGAGTCCTGGGTTCGATTTCTTGACTCTGCATCATATTTGAGTAGAATGTTTTAAGTCTCTCCCTGAGTCGATAGTTTTTCTTAATTTTTTCTCACTCTTCATCTTGACCTAAGAAGCTAAATTCTAATTCGATCTAGCGTTGGTTAAGCCGTGCCCTGACCCAGGTTAACCCAAAGGTTATTTTAGTGTATCGATAAAATTTGAATTGTTTTCTGAGCCCCTGTTTTTCATACCACGAAACGCTTGAATTTAAAGCCAACCTCCCTTCTTCGAATCAAATCATCAAATCCCTAAGTTGTATGAGAACATATATTAACTTCATTTTCGTAGGCTTATGCGTAGGGTCTGGGAACGAGAATGATAATAACTATTCGTTCCCAGGTATTACCTGACTTTAGCGACGACCTGGCCACTTAGCTCAGACATTGGCGTAAATACGTGTTGCTCCTCGGCCATGGCTTTGAGTAAAAACCTGTCTTGAAGAACAGCTTCAACCTGACCTGCATGACGAAGGTAAGGAACGTATCCAAGGCTCTGGAAAAATAAGGATATAAAATAATACTTATAAATATTTTTAAAAATTAATACAATTCACCAAGGAATCATTGAGACTATGCATAATATCACTTCAGACACGAGTGATAAACCTCTGCTCGAGCTCGAAGTCTGCAAATTATGCTCCAAAACCCTACCTTGCTATCGTAAACATATGCAAATTTGACTTTCAATCTTAGTGAACTGACAAATGGACTTTATAAAATGCCAAAACTTTCAGTTCTTTCACAAGACAGTTCTTGAAACTTTAGCCTAATTCTTTCTATTGTCTCGGCTGGGTTGGTAGAAAGTATGCACACAATAAACCATTTGTATATTCAGAAAACGAACAATTTTTCATACTCAAATGCCTTCGGAATTCTTGAAACGTGCTGAAATTTTCTCTTGTGTTTTACACATCTAATATGTCTCCCCAATATTAACCGCGCAACACAGGAATACCACACTCGTACCTTTTGACATGATGGGCAAAGGTGACCCAGGAAGATGTTTTCCTTGATGGTTGGTCTTGAAGCACAGTTCTCATACTGGATAGTCTTGGTGACATGACACACTTGGGCCTTGTTTCCGGCTTGTTGGACTACCTGTGGCACGATGCTGTACACCACAGGGCAGTGTCCGACAATGGTGGGCTAACAACAAAAAACAATACGTTAAAATATGTTAAATATTCAGGTTTGCCCCTAAAAAAACCTTGGGCTAGTCTTGTGTGTATTGGAAATTACACGCGCAAACGATTTTTCTCAAATTTATGACCTCTTTCAATTGGTAGATAATCGATAACAGTCCGGAATACCGCCGTTTGAGCTTTCGTAAAAGAATATTGTTATGAAATTTCATTCGCAAATATTTCATTAATAGGTAATTAAGAGGAGTAACGATGCGAAATTGAAAAATTAAAGAAGTCACTGATCAGTCAATCATGTCTTGAATGCATGTGCTATCATTCAAATGACGTTGTAATGATCGATATGTGGTCGTATCTTCGGGTGACAATATATTTTCGTACCTCTTTCTGCATGATAACCAAAGGAGCCTTCGTGGCTAAGATGTGCTTGGGGTCCTGACCTTCTACTTTGGGTGCAATCTGGAACATGTTAACAATACCACGCTTGATGTTACGAGACCATTCAGGGCCATTCTGACTCACACGGATAGCTTTCACTTGTCCACTAGCTGAGAACACCACGTCGATGGGATGCTGTTGAAGCTGTGCTATGGCTTGAGGAACGGCCTCGATTGGTGTCTCACGTTCACTTGTCGACACTTCAAGCTGTACGATCTTCACGTTTTCCAGCTACAAGTTAACGAGAAAAAATTAAGTGAATATGGCGTTAAATCGTGTAACGTAACGTTGCGTGACATTACTGCAAGACACTGTATGTGCAATCGAATTTTCAACCTGATAGCTCACAACATTAATATAGGTTACAGTATAGGCACATATTTTACAGGCAATTGCGTTTGCGTGACCGTGTACTAAAGTGATTTGGGTAACATTGCGTTATATTGCAATATGTATAGTTGTGTTCATATGGAGAGCATCGTTGCGTTACATTAAACTGTGGTTCACCTTGATTTGGGCCTCCTCTCTCTTGATCATAGTCACTTGACAGTCACATCTTAGTCGCAGTCCAATTTGTTTGCTGGCACCTCCAGGGATGGAGTGCACCACTTCGGCTTCGTACTTGAAAGTGTAACGCTTTCCTTTCTCGAAAGCTGTGCGAGAAAAAAATAAGATATATATCAATCGAATTATAACAAGGGCGGATCGAGGGTTTTTTGGAAGGGGGGTCTCAGGGGTAAATTTTGTGGGCAAAGGAATCCCAGTCGCATTTTTACGACAGGAAGCCCATTTGACCTCAGGAATGACAGGGGGGGTCGAGGCCGACCCTCCCCCTAGATCCGCCCTTGTATAAGATGAAAAAAATTCTACGAACTTTACAAACATGGCCGATCGCGACCGTTCAACAATACAAAACATAGAGATATGGGGCTGAGAAGTATGTAAACTATAACTCGCGATATGTAATAACTTAAACGAGGGCGACATAAAAACGTACGTTTTTGCTATACGAGACACACGATTGTCACATACGAGTTACAAACACAAAATCCCTGAAAACCCAAGAACAACATTATCGGGAAATGAAAAATAATACTTACCAAGAGGAAAGGCGTCTGAAAAAAAAGAAAAACAGGAGAACAAAATTAGTAAATACAAAAATAGCCGATAAAACTACATAACTTCTTAAATCAAATTTAACGAGAAATGAGATTTGTATATGGATAATGAATGAAATGAAAAGGCAATAAACGAGAAATTTGAAATAGAGGAATTTTCATAATACAATATAGAAAAGAAATAAAGACGTAGTTATACACGTACGTGTAACAGCCACCAAGAGCAAGAACACCAAAGCAGTCTTCATATCTCCTAGTCTAGCTCAACCTGGAGTATGGGCCGCTATCAAACGAGCAAGGTATTTATACCCTGATCAATGGAACCCTGGTGGTCAGGGAATAAATCCGACGTGACTTGGTTTAGAACTGTTATCTAATGACGAAGCACTTTGAAGCAAGACCAACCTGTGGTGAGCAAGCTGGACTTAGACAACTTTATGGGAGGTTTTTCTTCATTTTGGACAGAAAATTGAAGTGTTATGGCTCGTATTAATTAATTTCAGACGAATCTCAATCTTTGTAGCCCTAATAAGAGAATACTAACACTGCTTCGTGGGCGATGGGTGATCATTTTATTCATGCATCAAGTTTTGTAGCGTCGTGTATCAGCCTGAGATTGTCAACCTTTCTTTCCCATTGTTGTTCATCCCGTTGGGGTAGTGGATAGTGTACTCCGTAAGCCTTAAGTTTCCATTCAAAAATAATATGTAATACCTTTTAGTCAATTTCAAAGAAAATTCGAGAAAAAATAATTTGTGCATTCAAGACAACATTTAGAATGAAACTATACGATGAAAATAAGATGCCCCACCTCACGATAGCCTCGCTTGTATGATTCTTAAAACAAAAGAATATCTCATTGCGGGCTTGAAACAGTGTAATGGCTTCCTATTGTTTTCCTTAGTAGTATTCATCCAATCACCACCAATAGTTACGACCAGGATAATACATTACTAGACCTGCAAGAGAACAGCTACATCAATACTTTTGCAATATGGGCTTTAATTTTTCAGTTCAATAGATGCATTGTTAAAGTTTTATCTGTTTATCTATCTATATATACTATTAGAAAAAGATGTGACGCATCCCCCGGGGGATCCCACAGGAAATTGTGTCGGAAGAGTATAGAAACTAACCTTGGCCTTTCCGTGTCTTTTTTGGCCAACTCAACGACAAAAACCAAGCTGACATGTTTAAATAGCGATTGAGATTTTTTGAAAAGTTTTTTGTATTTTGATTTATATTTTGAAAATCTGCTTTGTTTTGACTTCTTCATTGAAAGTATTAACAAATCTGATGATGGGTCGTTGACGAGCAGGTTAGCCGTGACACGTCCAAGGGCTGGCCACAGCAGGACTAAAACAATACCCTCAGAAATTTTGCCTGATGAATATCCCAAATTAAGATGCTATATTTTTACATATTTTTGGAAATGGCAAAAGAATGTTCCTGAATCAGATTAAATGAAGTATTGATGGTTTTCACGGCGGCCATGTTGGAGGAACTTAACAAATGAATTGTCAATGAACTCTTTTGTTATATCCTCCAACATGGCCGCCGTGTCTTTTGTTATTTAATTCTCATGGGAATGGTTGAAAACCATCAATAGGAATAAGAATGGACCTGAAGCAGATTGGATGAACGTATAGGAATTCTATAATATTTATGCAACACTCTACAATTAAGCTGGAAATCCCAATTCGAAGGGTCTTCACTATATCCTCCAAGTCGCTTGTCCGTTCTGAGACAGCGTAGTACCCCAGTCACTTGACTGCCATATCTTTAAGTCACATGACGTCATCAGGACCACCAAATGGAATACGTAGATGGGCTGTTATAACAAGCTAAAGTGGAACATTACGGCTACTATTAGCATTAATCTATCGAGCCAAAACATGCTTTCAAAGGCAGGAAACCGATACTTAACACTGAAGTAAGTCTATAATGGACTGGGATAGAAAGGTCAGACGGATACGCTAATGGCGCTAACAGTGGATGGGATACGATACAGAACATTCGTCACACGACTGGCACGACATAACTGTATCACACCAAGGTTAACATAAACACTGATAGTCAAATGTGCGCTTTGGCAAGGTTTTTCGTTTAGGCAAGGAATTCTTTTTCTTTTTCACCTTCGTGGCTTTAAGATAAAACACTGTTTAGTAGTTATTTTAGTTTAAAGTAGTATTGGATCCATCAATATCCATGTAACAATAAAATGTCTCTTATAAAGCTCAGGTGACGTAAATTACTGACGTTTTTAGTGGACCTTGATCTAGAATACAAAACATCTCACCACTGTAACCCTATCCCCGATTACGCGCGCAGCATTCACAAAGACAAGATTTTTTGCTGAATCGACAGAGTTTTGGCGATTGAACGAGTTTTGTTCTGAGTTGACAGAGTTTTGGCGATTGAACTAGTATTTTTTTTTTCTGAGTTGACAGAGTTTTGGCGATTGAACGAGTTTTGGTGATTGACAGAGCTTTTGTAAATTGACCGAATTTTCGCAATTGAACTATTTTATAAGCATTGATTGACAAAGAAAACATGTGCTTGTGTAATGCAATGCACTGATATTAAGTGTACATATTCTAGCGAAGTATTAGAGTGCTCACACTAAATCCGTGAAACAAATACTAATTTTTAGCACTAAATAGTGATAATTAAACAATAGAAAACAAAGGATTCTGTATGAAATAGTACTAATTAGTACTATTTAATGTTCACGTTTTAGTGCGTGCACTCTAACGTAATTGACAAACAAACAATTACAATCGAAATGACAATTTTGAACCATTTCGCGCGACATACTATATCACTGTTTTATTGAGCCCGAAAGAAGTAGTATTGTTTTATTTTGTTGTTGTTGTTGTTGTTGTTGTTGTTGTTTTCTATCTTCTTTCTTTCTTTACGGTGGGCCGGAGGAATCTAGGGGGGGCCATTAAATTTCCACTCAGTAAAAGCGGGAAAGGGGGGGGGGGGGGGGAGTCATCAAATATTCCATGCATATTTCCATATATACATAAAGGGGAAGGACAAGAATTCAATCAATTCTGTCAGAAGAAAGGGATGCTAACGATTTTACATTACTGTTTATAAGGATTCCTCCGGCCCACCCGCCTCCTAAAAAACAAAAACAAATGTTTCCTAACTGTCCGACAACTCAGCAGGGGACTGGACACGAAATAGACCCACAGTACCCTTCGTGCACGCCATTTGATTTTCATGTGTTCAAAACAAAGACAAAATCTGTGCTCGTCTGAACACGTTCCGGTCGTGAAATAAAAATACACTTTGTGACCTAAAGATAGGAAAACCTATCCGGCCGCGATTATTGGCCCAGACCTAATTATCCTTGCATAAACTCATTTGTCAGTCGTAGATTCCATAAATATAGGATTGTTGTATCAACAACTGTAACAACTCCATATTTAATGGAATTTATGTCCCTATCGCAGAGTGATTCTTTATTTGGATTGGATGATTAGCTGTTTTGATCATCAGAAGCGGATCGGAGCATCAAAATATGTTTTTTCATTATCGTCGAAATTTATAGTTGAAGTTTCGGTCATTATGGTTGTTTTGGTCTTGGAATCCAATTTAGATTTTTAACGTTTCAGGGCGATGAATAACATACCCTGATTCAAACCATGAATAGAAATTTCTTGATATGTTTTTCGAGTGAGCAAGGGAAATATCAGTGTTCCATGTCAAAAATTGATGTATTTTGTCTTTTATGTCAAGATTTTTCCTTAATCATTTTGATCTGGAAGACTGAGAGTCGAGGTAGAGACAGAAACATCGAATATGTTTGGTGAGCGACAGCCTGGGAGTAGGATTCGAGAGACTCTCTGAAATAAAGTGAAAAGGTGGACCATCTCAAGAGGCGTACTAAATGCGTTGATTTGAATTCGAAACTTTGAGAACCAAAATAAAAGTGGTTGTTCTTTTGAGGGGTTTCCTAAAGCAGTGATGAAAAAAAAACTTGGCTAAAATCAAAAGAAAATTAATTTTACTTCATAAAATACTGAAATCGTTTCACAGTTAGAACAACCAGTGGTCGATCAATCGGTCGTAGTTGGTCATTCTCTGGTCGAAGAGTTTTCAATTGCGTGTATGTAATCTATAAGTTCAACGCTTTTTCTCTTTGGATTTATCTTTTTATTAATTAATTTTTTTTGATGAGTTTAACCGAGATGACCTATTTCTTTCATCAATACTTATCTTGTACACGCTACCTCGCGCGCGCGTCCGTTTCCATTGTCATCTACATCCAAATCATCATTCAAATTCTATATATTCTTTTTGTGTCCTATTCGATTATCCTTTTTTTCTTCTTCTTCTTCTTCTTTCCCGCGCTCAAATTCTTCCAAACCACGTGTCACTGTGAACGACGCGGGGTTATTAAGACTACGCATGCGCGAGGATTGTCTTGTCCACAGACATTTATCAACAATAAAATTCAAAACTCAAGGCTCATTCAAACTCAAACTATTCTACAAAAATAAAGCTGATTTTCAATATCATCCATCAATTTTTACAACCTTCTTTATGTACAACGTTGGCTATAAGCAGACCGTTTTTTTCTCGGCACTCAAAGTTGTATTTCTTTTTCAATGTCATGTCTTTGTACACTGTTTTCTAATGGTTTTATTTCACCGCAATGAAAGACACTCGAAGCTTTCCAACGTGCTTTCAAGAGTGGAATCCTACAACATATAGTTTTATTTCAATTATGCATAACCATATTCAAATTTAGCGCTTTCTCGGCGCCAAAGTCTAAGCAGTTGAGTCGATTCTAATTTCAACCCTGTAACAGAGAAACGAATAGTTTTTTCTCGAGGGATAGAGAAAACAAATCTGAACAAAGGGATTCGTTACTCTGAGTTGTATTCTTCGAAAGGCGTGACGCAACTCGAGTCGAGATTGTCAACAACGCTTCTTGAGGCAATATTTCTGAAGGCTTCTAGCACTTGCATGGTCTTAAGCCTTTTCTATAGTCCTTGCTCATAGCGCAAAGAATCAGTGGATTCACCGCACTGTTCGTGTAGAAAAAAGAAAGCACCACGACTAAACCAATCTCCATTGCCGCTTGGTCATTGCGTCCGTGGGTTCCGAACTCCAAAACGAGAACGTAAATGAAATACGGAAGACAACACAGCGTGAAGGCTATTACAATGAGGATCAGCATTTTCACGAGTTTACGCTTTTTCTCCAACCGAGCGTGAGATTCTTTAGTGAGCCCAACCACGTTCTTGTGAATGATCCGTACCTTCCAGAGTGTCCGTACTATTCTAAAATAAGAATAGGCGATAATAAAGAATGGAATGAAGACGATTATCGTGATGACAATCATGTGTGATCTCCTGTGTACCTTGTTTGGCCAGAAGGGATAGCAAATCTTTACTCCCTGATCAGTGGCTATCAGTTTGAGTAGAAACGAAGTCGGAAGACCACAAATGAGGTAAGAAAGTATCCATATAATCACAATAGCAACCTTGGTTTGGCCCTTTGTGAAGCGCTTTTTCGGAGTAACAACAGCTCTGTATCTATCGACACTTATGATTGTCAGAGTAATAATGGAAACAAGTAAAAATACATCTCCAAGCGGAAAGAATATCTTACAAGCCAGTTCGCCGAACGGCCAGGATGCTAGTTCCTGTAGGAGTCCAACAGGGAGACTTAGGACGAGGACAGCAAGGTCAGACAGCGCTAAATTAGCGATGAGAAAGCTACTCGTTGTCTTGTTTGGTCCCTGTTGCATAACTCCGTATATGACAATACAGTTCCCAAAGAACCCGACGATAAATACAACAGTGTAGAGGACAAGCATGAAAATAACATATGTTGGTAAAGTGTCTTGGAATGGTAGTTGAGCAGCTAGTTCGTCCTCGTACACTGTTATAGTCTCGTTCGTGTAATCGTAGTCGCTAACCATCGAATCGAAATCTTCCGACGCCATTCTCGATTATCCCACCAAATCAAAAGCGTTTAAAACTTTCCAAGCTTTGCTCCAGGGTCTGCGAGTTGTCAAATAGACGGTGAATTTCTAATTTTTTGTTCTCTGGGTTGTTGGCTTTAGATCCTCTCGCCACCAAATACGAGTGAACGTGTCGACGAGCAAGTTTTGATCAAAGAATGCTAGCAATTATCTCTCGGATCTTGGCAGTCGGACTCTGGGCTAAAGTTTCCTTTGGCTGGGCGGTAATTAGAATGCCCTTCATTTCACGTTTATCTGATTTTACGTTTGAGTCCACTGTCATTTACAACGGAAGTCCTGTCTTGTGCACAGAGCCCCATAAGAAGGTTAAGACTCCAGAAATTCCCTCCAGTTTGTGGTACTTTGATCTACGATGGGAGAATCTGTTAGTTGAGTAAACAAGTTGCGCATGGTAGGCTGCTGTTACTCCTGATGTCTGCCAGCGACGGCGCGTAATTTTCACGAGTGTTATCTTTTAAAGACCCCGATACTTCGTTCTGGACGTACAGGAATGTTCTTAATGCAAAGTCAACAACACCAACGAACTACGCCGATGTTTACTTAAGGATTTTTTGCTTTTTACATCAGCGCTAATGACCTCGTTTGCTTGGCGTCATCTGGGATATGTCGATTTGGTATCTTGGCTTACTCATCTCTGTCAAGATCCTCATCAAACCTGATTATCTCGGGTAATAGCAACCTCCCCTCGCTCACCGTCAGCCAAGTCGTCTATATACCTGGCGATAGCTAATCAATTGTGCGCGTTTTAAGTGGTGTTTTGTTGGAGCCTTTCGTTCAAATTGCCCGAATTAGACCCGAAGTCGCCTTCACATGTCCATGAAGCTATCGGTTGACAAGCCGTGGAGCTTACTTCAAACGAAGTGAATGAGATCTTGGGTGCCGCTTTGTCTGTATGCTTGACCACTATGATAAATCATCCACCGATAACGTAGGAATGCCGGATATTTGGGTGCTTCTTGTACAAACGCTCACGCAATCGCTATCATTGGATTTTCCGCGTAGTCTTTTCTGACTGTTTGCTCGCCGATTCTGATACCTAGAAACAAAAAAAAAAAAAGATCTTTCTCTCAAGGTGCGCAATCCGTAAAGATAAAATGCGATTTCTTCGCTTAGATACGATCTGCAATCCACAATAATTTGGAGTTTACTCCTTTACATTGTAAATGATTTACGTAGATGTATACAATGCGCAAACCATCGGCATTATTCTTGCGGTGCATTACATCAATCCTGAATACTATTTATATGTTATAATTCTTTATTGAAATTACCATCGATTAAAACCAAAAAAATTGTAACAGAAAGCGCGCTGCGAGGTATTTGATTTTCTACCGATGGAATTTTTTTTGTATATATTTTATTTTGCTCCGTTCTGTCAGTTCTATATTTAACGAAGGCCGTCGAACTCTGTCGACAAGTCTCTTCTCGTGGTATTCTCTCGGTCGTTTTATCGTAATTTGACACTCACCATGTGTTGAATGAAAGATTAAAATGAGGTTACGACTACCGTTTAACCTTCAAGAAAGAAGTGTTTGTCGATACGAAGAACTACTTATGTATGAGTAAAAATCGATAGAGGTACCAGTTATCAGCTGCACTGCCAGGATATCGAGGCGAAGAGGGAAAAGAAACAGAGAAAATTGAACAGATTACTCTCAATCAGTCCTTGATCTTGAAAGCCTCACCCCTTTATCTTGGATCTAACCGTGGGTTCGATTCTAACGCGCTTGTTAAAGGATCAAATTACAACCACGTGCTCACTTAACTAGCTTTTCTCTCACTCACAAACACAAGACATTTATGTACATATACGTTTAATCCAAATCGGGTTTCCCACACACTCAAAACAACACACTGTTTATCAAACCTTCGGAGCAAAAAAGACCAAAAACTGTCTTAAGATGAAGGGTATTATTTTTGAAAAGAAGTATAATTCGTAAAAAAAATTTTTAATTTTAATTTTTATATTTTCCATAAGTTTTAATTCACCATTGAGTGGGCTCCCTGTGGACTCTCTGAGACAGCTAAAATTAGTTAAATTTAGAATTGATAAATGAACGATTTAAAATGAGTATTTAGCGACCAATCCTACATTCTTCCATTCTCAAGTGATAACGAAAAACGGAAATTATTTTTCAGTGACGAGGCTGAAATCTTGGTTAAAAATAGCATTCATTTCTTCTAGTGAAGTGATGTGGACCTACCCCAGGCGTTGGCGATATACACCCCCCCCCTCCCCCCAGTAGTCTTATACTTTAGTGCGGGTTGCTATCTTTAAAAGCTTACGAGAACTGGTTAACTAGGTGGGTAAGCTTGAACCGTTTTGACTGTAACTGTATTTTAAAGAATGAAGTTGCAAAGTGTACTTTTTGGTATGAAAGAAGAAGTATCCATCCATCCATCCATCCATCCATCCATCCATCCA